CTAGAACAGTTTAAATGCCGTAAATTCTCCCTAATTGATCCTCAAATGGATGATTTGGGAAGGGGAAGTACTATTATTCAAGGCATACAGCTTGTTTTTATAGTTGTCGACGATCGGTAACTATAGAAGCAATACGAGCAAGGCTCGAATAATCGTATCTCCTTTTCCCAAATCATCCACTTTTGTGTACAATCTGTACTGTACTTTGAATAACGCAAAATCATTGGATTTGAATCTGAAGAAACTGTGCCAAACGATGTGAACCACACGGCGTTATGACTTAGATTGCGGATCTTCACGCGAATTCCGGCGTTCGTACGTTACTTTATCAAAACCAGAATCAGAGAAACATTTTCCGCGTCAACCGAAAGATTTCTTATCGTGAAATTATAGAACGAATGCTACTAGGTCTCGCTGATTTGTGCAATTCCTTGCATTCTCAGAAATCTGCGCGTACCATGAACGCATGAAAATTTGCAGACTGTTTAAGATTTATTTCGCTGTTGCGGTATAATTAGGTGATTCATTTTGCGGTGAAATCCTAGAAGAAAAGAAGACTTATGTCTATTACACGACCGTATTTTCTTCAACGGTCGGATACCGATGAAATCTTCGTTCGAAATCTTCGTCAAGAATCATCCCCGTTCTTACAAGAGACCGGATAAAGGAAAAGCATGAATCCGAAGCGCAGGTCGAAAGGGCTTAAAGTATAGTTTCCGGACCCTACCTGGCTCGTCATCCCCTTTCAGAGAGCCTGTCCATCGGCTTCGTTCTAAACCTCCATTATCGAAACTTCCGGCCGTGTTCGTGCGTGTAATCTCCGAACATTGAAAAGTTGGATGGAAAATAAACAACGCGAAGTATCTAGAAGCAAAACTTCCGACGTCCCCCGAGCGGCCAACGTCGGGAAAGCTCGCTTCCCAGCTTTACAGCCCTCTTCGTCGCGGCTCTTTTTTTTCTCTCTTTGTTTCGCTGCTACACGAGAAGTTCCGTCGAGCAGCTGTGCCCGCAATTTTTGAGCGTTTCGAAGTTCGTTTGTAAGTAACGAGCTCAGCGGCCGCGGCGCGGTCCGAGGGAAACGGATTACAATTCCTGTCGCGCGAGGAATTTTTCGCAGCGAGTTTATCCGAGCTCGTCGGTGCCCGGCCGTGCGTTCCCGCGATGGAAAGAAAAGTTCAAGATCGAAGCGCTTTAACAGCGATCTATCGCGTGCCGCGTGAACTTGACTCGTCGAAGCACCGCCGCTCGATGCGCGTCGCTCGTTAGGCTTATGCAATTTAACGAACGCACAGGCTCGCGGACGGCCTTCTGGACGACGTGCAGGGACAGGCATCGCTCTCCGAGAATCTACGCTCCTTTTTCTCTCTTACCTCGTGCCCGTGCTCCGAGTCTAGGAGAGTCTACGAGGCCCGATCGCCGCGGCGAACCTAACCGGTTTCATGGTCGCGGACCCGAGACCGACGAGACGCGACGCGACGCGACGCGACCGCGCTCGAGGAAACGGCCGAATAAAACGAGAGACAAGACCCATTCCGGGCCGGTAACCTTCGACCTCGCCGGCCACGCTCGCGAACGATCCGAATTCGATCGAGCGTGAACCTCTGGATCGGCAGAAATACCAACTCGATCCGTGCCGCACCACTTTGCTGTTAATTGGCGGTAACTCGAAATTGAATTAGAGAAGTACGTTTCTAACATACGTAATCGTCGTTGCACTCGTCTGCACTTATGGCATTCCGCTCTGGACCATTGCCAGTCTTTCTAGGCGTTAATCTTTATAATCGAAACCTTTGCAGACTATGCACGATGCATTCTCGGTTGATCTCGAACAAATCGATTCACAGTGGTAACCTGGTAATTAGTGCAATTCAAAAAGTAATCGCAAACTTCAGCGAACATCGTATAAGCACAGATACTTGAAACTCGTTCGATCAACGTACTACCACCGTTCAAAATTTCCTTGGTGAAATTGATTGTAAACATAGTCGAATGCAAATTTCTCCGCCATAACGAGAACCAAACCTTGTAAGGAGCATTTCGCCGTAAGGAAACGAATCTCGCCAATCGGTGGAGAATGTGATTTGTGCAACTTTCTTATTCTAATTAAATTCTGAATATTCTCGAAGGGAATACGTCAGGTCCCCTCCTTTGAATAATTAACTTCAAACACAGGATTTTCGTTTATCCCTTCGCACTCGAAGCTGATTGAACCCCAAAATCCAAATTAATTGCACCAGTTTCGTGCGATACGCAACATTCTGTGAAAATATTTTTAACAGTTTTCTTTCTTGTAAATATAAATGATTTTAGTAATATACAAATTGCAATGAATACGTGTAAATATTAGGGGGACCGGAAAGTAATGTCGTTTCTGCGCGTGTCAGTATTCCTTTTTTTTGCATACTAATTTTTTCATACTAAAAATTTGCATACTAAACGAAGAAAAGTTGTTGATAACGAGGGTGATTACATTATTGATTGAAAATAAGAACTAGTTAAAGATTGATCTGTTTGAATTTAATGTAAACAAACGACATAACATTCCGGCCCTCCTAATATATTCGTGTAAATGTGTGACAATGTTTATCGCGTCGAATGCAAAGGATTAAACAGGCTGATAAAATGATCAAGCAATTGTTCAAGGAGCGGCCAAATACGTAAACGTAGCGTTTCGCCGCTGCCGCTTAATTATGACGAGAAAGTCTCATTTAAATGCGGAAGCGTGGAACTGTTGTAGCGAAACGGTAACGAGATAGTCTGAAAAGGAAGAACGTTTAGCACACGATTCGCGGAATGTCCGTAAGATTTTGCTCGATGCGATCGGAGGAAAACTAATTTGAATACCGTAGAAAAACCAATTATCTGAATTCGCTAAATGCAAGCGTTGTTTTTCCACCGACAAGTTATTGCCAGCCGAGGACGCGTCCTGTGTTCTGTTACGCATAAATGAATAGATTTGACAGTGAAACACGAGCGTCCTGCGAGCAGCACGGTGAACAGAACTACGATCGCTGAGATCAATCAGAATTCCAAGACACGCGGGTACCGTAGAAGTTCCACGTTCACCGTTCGACACCGTGGTGCCAAGTGAAAAAGAAACGATACTCGTGGCAAACTCCTTGATTCCCGAGCAGATTGCAATTTGCATCTGATTCGGTGCTCATAGAACAAAGTGCAGAGGTACCGTAGCCGGAATTTGCACTGGTTGCACTCTGACGGAGGATATAAACGCCGGAGATAATCAACGTGTTGCTTGCGCGATATGGCTACTCTGCGAACAGTTCAAACGGGAACAAAACGGTAAGAAAAAAAAAATGAAGTTTCTCTTCGAACGACTTTTGGACCTTGGCATTTTCATGCACGTGTGAATTTCCCGGCGTCGATTTGCAAAAATTGCAATCGAGGATAAGTTTATTCTTGCAGCGAGTAAATTAAAAACGACAAATTAATGCCGATAAATAATAATAATAATAATTGCTCTATTTGACGAACCGAAAAAAAAACCTTACGCTTTTTTAACATTACAGTATGTTACACGATTTGTATCCAAAATAGAAAAACTGATAGAATAGTATGATATATATATATATATATATATATATATTATTATATATATATTATATTGTGTATGATATATATATATTATTTATTATTTATTACTTAACTTATTTTATTATTTATATATATCATATATACATATATATATATATATATATATATATATATATATATATATATATATATATA